CAATATTACTAATCATGAATTATTGAGCAGAAGTACTCAAAAGTTTTTTTTATGTACATGTAAAACTCTGATCGCTCATTTTGGCATCACCCAACACACCCTAGATTTGAAAACAAGAGGCCCATGGGCCTTATAGGTCACCTCAGTATCATTTAGCAACTTTCCAACAATTGAATAATATGATAAACGTGATGACTTTAACTTTTCTATCATCAAGTTCCCTTACCTATGCAGCAACATACCCGGTACCTTCATCACCTGCATACGGCGTTTATATATCTCAATTGATTCGGTACGCAAGAGCATGCTCTACGTGTGAACAATTTCTAAAACGAGGCAAATTATTGACAAAAAGTTTATAGAAAAAGAATATCAGCAGTCTCGTTTAAAGTCATTATTTCGTAAATTCTTTGGTCGATACAATGACCTTGTCATCAAATACAATTTATCATCGAGTCAAATGCTGACTAACGTTTTTTATACTAATTATTAGTCCATTTCTTATACTGATTTAACGACGGATTTTTCCGTTATTTCCCGATCATGACAAGGAGCACACGGCTGGTGTGACCGGTCAGCAGGGGATGCTCATCCCTCCATGGCACCTGATCCCACCTCTAATGTTTTAGAGGTCTGTGTTTGCTCTGCTCCTATTTTGTATTGTTCTATGGACTTTGACATTGAATACTATACAATTATTGCTGTTTTTGAGGTCAATACGATGGTTTAGCCACATAAGGAGTACAATATTTACCGAGCCCTGAGAATGATATCCAAGTATGAAGCAGATGTGTCAGACTCTGTGGTATCTGTCAGCTCACCAGGATATTGAATATATATTAATTCGTTGAAAATCTTTTCCTTTGATCCGGGGTATTATGCCAATGATCTAGTTATATATATTTATGACGAAGAAAGGTACATCTAGCAAAATGGTCACTTTCATGCCTCCTGGGTCAGGGGTATCGGGAGGGGGGGGGGGTACATAGTCTGAAAATAAATTAATGCTTTAAATTCTGCTCCTTAGTATTAATCACCCATATATGATGAAATAAAATTTATGATAAAATTTTCAAAATTTTGAAATACGTGGCCCCAGGGTCAGTGGTTCCTGTGGGGTGGGGTGCACAACTGGTTAAAAAGTTGAAGTGCATTTTCTCTCTGTTACTCTGATCTACCTCTGGGTATTAAGTAACTAGAGTAAGCATGCCAAGTGTATAATTTTAGCAACTTTTGACAGAGTTATGCCCCTTGGACTTGGAATATTTCCAATATGGGGGAGGCATAAGTGTTTTATAAATATCTCTTGTTTCACAAAGTTTCACGCTAAAATATTCGCACATACGAGGGTTGTCCCGTAAAATCGTGGACAAGTTGTCTAGTGTAAAAAATAAACATCACTGCGTCCTGAAATTTTCACTATTATTTAGTACATATTTTAGTAATATACACAGCAAATTCCAGATAAATATATGCATAAATAAACAAATTATGTGATTTTATGCCATGTATTGTATCACCTTACGCCGCATGGATTATAACGTCAAAGTGTCTAAAACAGCGTCACGTTTTATCTTTACTGAAAATGAAGTTGGATGATTCCGACTTAAATTTAGGAATTTCATTGATACACATTCTTTAGTCTCCATAAACAGCCGAAGAACCAACTGGCACCCTCATGCAATCTTCTGAAGATTTATTAGTAAGTTACGGACAATATTCTCACCATCATTCAACTAATAGAAAATCTCATATCGGCGGTCTACTGTGACAGAGTCTTATGCTATTACATTAGAAGTTTGTCCGTATGTTTTGTACTCCCCAGGGACTCGATCAAAAAAGACTTCGCTAAGAAAACTTCTATTTCATTTGTATACTTAAGATATGGTGATATTTTTATAATCTTTTTTCTTCTATGGTCATTTCAAGTCTCAAGGTGTCATTGCAACATCGAATTAAAACGGAACTGCTCTCCGGTGCGCCGTAACGTCATAAAACGGCGCCATTTTTCATGTGTTGTGTTTACCACTTTCCCATTTCGAATGCAAATTCAAGCATAATAAAATCTTTATTTTTGCCTATATTTTATCAAAAAAATTATCATGCACTTAAATATGATATATAAACATTTACTGAAATTTTCAGCTTAGTGCGCCCATTACTTTTCGAGAAAAACGATTTGTCCACGATTTTACGGGACAACCCTCGTATGTGCTTTGATCAAATTATTACCTGTTTTATAATGTTTTATAATGATCACTTTGCGTGATTCTTCTCTGTATTGAGATATACATGTATTTCGTTGTATATATACAGTTGAGCCACTCAGATTCCCTGATCACCAAACAGAGAAATGGTAAGGAACCATTATTTCTAAGTCAGGCACCTGAGTCGAACACTCGAGGGAAGTTTTGTGGTCAAAATTTGTCTGTTGTCTGTCGTCGCCATTGTGGCGGGTAAACCTTTTCTTAACGAATTCATCTTCATCTCCAGAATAACGGCAAATTTCAATTAAACTTGGCAAGGAGAATCCTTGGTTGAAAGTAGTTCAATTTTGTTGAAATGAAGGACCACACCCTCTTCCAAGAGGAGTCATTAAGAAAAGGTAAAGCTTGCGTGGGTTCATTTAAAAGTACTCAAGAATCATTGAACCAGTAAGGAAATTTTATGTAAAAGCTTCGTGATACTGCATTAATATTTTTTTTTCAAATCATACTCCAACGGGTAGGGTGTGACCAGTTTGGGCGAAAAAAATTGTATTGTGTATAAAAGGAACAAATTATCTAACGACTAACAAAGCCATGGTCAGTCTTATTTACATGAAAACATCCAAAGGTAGTGTTTGTTTGTAGTTAACGACCCTCTCGAGAATTTTTCACTTACATGGAGACACCACCATTTGCCGGTGGAGAGCTGCAAATTTTGTCCTTCATTCGGCACTCTGGGCAGTTAAGTAGTGAGAGATCTTTTTCGTGCGAACACTCACTGCAACACGGGAACTCTCTTTATTATACTCCCGAGAAGGGGTAAATTGTTTTCCCATTGTGTCTCTGTAAGTTCGACTGTCGGTCCGTAAAAAAATTGCTCGCAGTTTTCTCAGCAACTACTGAATGCAGATACTTGAAATTTAAGCACTGAGTCTTCGCTGAGGCGTGTCATATTATGGGATTATTTTTCTTCAAATCCAATGTCAACTTCCTATTAATCCGTGCGTGTTCTTACTTTTCAAGGCCGTTTTCTCAGCAACTACTCATAGCAGCTGCTTGAAATTTTAACATATACTTTTTTGGACATGTGGGATTTGAATCCGCGGCGTAAGGATCAGTTCCTTACTCCACGACTCTAGAGCAGACGCTCTAACCACTGCGACATGCAGGCGACCCAAAGGTATTGTAGATTTAAGTCTATTCAAATCACAACCCCCGGAATCTGGTAGGGATCAATCATTTATATGGAAGTATCCTAAATTTTTCATCAAAATCAGTTTTGATCTAGATCTCTTTGGGAGAGAAAGTGACCATAATCATTTATCAAAGACATGATTTTGAATAATTATACTGTATTCAGGGTTAATTTCGCTCCTTGTTATTTTCCTTTTGCACTTGCAAACAATTTTGCTCATTTTTAGATCACCTGAGCTGAAAGCTCAAGTGAGCTTTTCTGATCAACCATTGTCCGTCGGTCCGTCCGTCTCTTTACTTTTCACATTTTCAACTTCTTCTCAAGAACCACTGTGCCAATTTTAACCAGAGTTGGTATAAAGCATCCTTGGGAGAAAGGGAGTTTAAATTTTGAAAATAAAAGGCAAAGACTCCTTACAAGGGGAGATAATCAATAAAAGACAAAAATAGGGTAGGATCATTAAAAAATATTTCTCTAAAGAATAACTGGGCCAGAAATGCTGAAACTTATGTGGAAGCATCCTGGGATAGTGTAGCTTCTAAATTATTCAAATCATAACCCCTTGGGTAGGGCGGGCCACAACAGGGAATCCAAATCTTACATTGAAATATGTAAGAAAAATCTTCTCAAGAACCACAGGGCAAAAAAAGCTGAAACTTATGTGAAAGCAACCTGTGGTAGATTGTTCAAAGTATGACTCCCCAGGGATGGGGCAGGGCAGGACCACAATAGGAAATCCAAGTTTTACATTGAAATATATAGGAAAAATCTTTTAAAATCTTCTCCAGAACCTTTGAGCCAGAAAAGCTGAATCTTATGTGGAAGCATCCTGGGGTAATGTAGATTCTAAATAGTTCAAATCATGACCCCTGGGGATAGGGTGGGGCAACCATACGGAATCCAACTTTTACATTGAAATATATAGGAAAAATCCTCTCCAGATCCGCTAAGCCAAAAGCTGGAACTTACATGGAAACATCTTGGGGTAGTGTAGATTCTAAATTTTTCAAATCATAATCCCGTTGGGTAAGGTGGGCCACAGTAGGGAAACCAATTTTTACACTGAAATATGTAAGGAAAATCTTTTGAAGTCTTCTCAAAAACCTCCGGGTCAGAAAAGCTGAAGCTTGTGTGAAGGCATCCTGGGGTAGTGTAGATTCTAAATTGTTCAAAGTATGACCCCTGGGGGTAGGGCGGGCCACAAGGTATTACAAAGTGGGAAATGTTTAATCTGGTAAAGAACAGCATGGCCAGTTACTCAGATGAGCGATGTGCCCATGGGCTTCTTGTTAATTCGCCTCAGTTCGCACAGCCATGGAGATGGTGAAAATTTCTTTGTATACAGTATTCGATGGCAATTTGTTTATCGATCATGTTGAGCAAAAAAAGCATCTTAAAGAATTTTATAATATTGTGGACCATAAAGTGCAATTCAGATCAGCTTAAGAATAGTAGTTATGGTTCAAAACATATTTTTTCTTTAAGTTGGTTTATCTTGACAGGCCATTTTGTAATGAAAATGTTTTACTTCATAAATTCTAGGATCATTGCATTCGCTGTCCAATATTTCTATGGCTGGCTTTGTTACATATACATGATGTATCTGGAACCTGCAGTACCAGTATGTCAAAAAAATTCATCAAAACACAACTCGCGACCTTGGCTGATTCTGTCAACATGATCATAGACGGTCCAAAAAGCCGTATATATGTTTATCTAGTTTACTCTCTCTCTCTGTGTGTATGTGTAATTCTCTCTTTTAAAGGCACTCCACAGATGACACAATATTTAGACTGAATTAGTGTTTGTATTATACACATCTATTTTACAGTTCCTATAGCTTTCCATGCCGAAATGGGATCTGACAAAACCATTGCTAGCGGTCAGACATGGATTTATGACAAAATCATCACCAACGTGGGGAAAGGTTACGATCCCACCACTGGGAAATTCATTGCTCCGGATAAAGGCCTCTATTTGTTTGCTTGGTCCTCCCTTAGTGACCCGGGGAAACAGTCACATGCTGGGTTGGTTGTGAATGGGAAAGTGATGGGAAGACAAGGTTTAAATAATATAAATGGTGGACAAAAGTGGGTCACTGCTGGGAACACCATAATCCTGGTTCTACAGAAAGGAGACAATGTGTATATTAGGGATGTCCATGGTAGAGTCGCAGAGTTACTGGGTCCATGGACAACGTTCAGTGGAGTACAATTGGCTTGACACCTAATTACAATAACTTGCTACTGTCCCAATAAAAAGATTTGTTTAAAATAGTACAATAGTCAAAGTGTTGTTCATATAATTAGACAATTGCTTCACTTATTTTAATAATAAGGATAAAATCACACATTCATACGCAACTGATAAGAGAAAAATTCAAACTAAGAGGCTAAGGGCCTTAACGGACACTTGAGAGTAATGTAATTAATACCACTGGAAACTATCTATTGATTGAAACATCAAATAAACAAGAAGCACATGGGCCACATCGCTCACTTGAGCACTGTGGCTTGGAAAAAGTAGAAATTGGTTTATTATTGAAAAGTTTAAATCAAAAGTAGTCCCGTGACCAATCATGGATTTGCTATTCTTGAGAAGAATTTTCCTATATATTTCTATGTAAACTTGGTCGGCTATTGTAGCCCCGCCCTACCCCCGGGGGTCATGATTTGAACAAACTTGAATCTACACAACCTGAGGATGCTTTCATATGAATATGATGAATTATGGCTTTGCGATTCTTGAGAAGATGATTTTTAAAGAAGTTTTCCTATATGTTTCTATGTAAAACTTTGGTCGGCCAGTTTGGCCCCGTCCTACCCCCATGGGTCATGATTTGAACAAATTTGAATCTACCCTACTTGAGGATGCTTCCATATGAATATGATCAATTATGGCCTTGCTATTCTTAAGAAGAAGATTTTTAGAGCATTTTCCTATATATTTCTATGTAAAACTTTGGTTGGCCAGTTTGGCCCCGCCCTACCCCCGGGGTCATGATTTGAACAAATTTGAATCTACACTACCTGAGAATGCTTCCATATAAATATGATCAATTATGGCCTTGTCATTCATGAGAAGATTTTTAAAGAATTTTCCTATATATTTTTATGTAAAAATTTGGTCGGCCATTTTGGCCCCGCCCTACCCCCGGGGGTCATGATTTGAACAAATTTGAATCTTCCCTACTTGAGGATGCTTCCATATGAATATGATGAATTATGGCCTTGTCATTCATGAGAATAAGCTTTTTAAAGAATTTTCCTATATATTTCTATGTAAAACTTTGGTCGGCCATTTTGGCTCCGCCCTACCCCCAGGGGTCCTGATTTGAACTTCTTTGAATCTACATTACCTGGGGGTGCTTTCATATAAATATGATGAAATATGGCTTTGTCATTCTTGAGAAGATTTTTAAAGAATTTTCCTATTTATTTCTATGTAAAACTTTGGTCGGCCATTTTGGCCCCACCCTACCCCCGGGGGGTCATGATTTGAACAGATTTGAATCTACATTACCTGGGGATGCTTCCATATAAATATGAAGAATTATGGCTTTGTCATTCTTGAGAAGAAGATTTTTAAAGAATTTTCCTATATATTTATATGTAAAACTTTGGTCGGCAATTTTGGCCCCACCCTACCCCCGGGGGCCATGATTTGAACAAACTTGAATCTACACTACCTGGGGATGCTTCCATTTAAGCATTGAATTCATATTTTTGGATGTCCTATAACACACCTGGCCGTGCCGACAAATTGAATACCGCGCGTTAGCTGATAATTTGTCGGCACGGTCAGGTGTGTTATAGGACCGAGGACATCCAAAAATATGAAGTCAATGCTTACATTCTCTAATTTTTGTTCTTCATAATTGCTTATTTCGTTAATTTTAAATGTGAATTTAGCGCCTTTCAAAACTGCCGTGGTTAATAGATGTAAGAGCCGTTTGTGACGTCAAATGACGTAAAATGACGTTGCAAAGTTAACACGCAAACAAACATTGCGAGGAAAAAAGTGACAAATTAATTCTTAACGCACGTTACGTTAATTTTTACGTTAATTTTTCAGGGTTATAGTTTTTCATTAAATTGAAGTAAAATATTTTACATTTTGGTGTTCCTAGAGTATTGAAATTGCATATAGTTCCTACTATGTATTCTAACGCGCGGTGACAAGGTTTCGCGTGTGTTACAGTAATTTGAACATCGTGAATTTCTAATGAATTTCATAAGGAAAATCACACTGAATGTAAATATTTAAATATGATGAATTATGGCTTTGCAATTCTTGGGAAGTAGATTTTTAAAGAATTTTCCTATATATTTATATGTAAAACTTTGGTCCGCCATTTTGGCCCCGCCCTACCCCCGGGGGTCATGATTTGTTCAAATTTAAATATACACTACCCCAGGATGCTTCCACAAAAGTTTCAGCTTTCCTGGCACAGTGGCTCTTGAGAAGAAGATTTTTAAAGCATGCCACCAAATTTTCATTAATTCCCAATTATCTCCCCTTGAATGAGGGCATGGCCCTTTATTTGAACAAACTTGAATCCCCTTCACCCAAGGATGCTTTGTGGCAAGTTTGGTTGAAATTGGTATAGCGGTTCTTGAGAAGAAGTCGAAAATGTGAAAAGTTTACAGACAGAGAGACGGACAGCTAGACGGACGGACAGACAGACGGACGCCGGACAAAATGTGATCAGAAAAGCTCACTTGAGCCTTCGGCTCAGGTGAGCTAAAAACAAAATAAATTGTTAAATGAAGCTATATTACACCAGTAGAAATAGGATGATCAGTGCTAAGCAAAATGATTTAGTACTCCAACACTATACTTACCTGTATCTGTCCCTTTCATTCCCCATGAGGACAAAATAAAACCATATTTTAGAAAAACCAAATTCATTCCCTCTTTTGGTTTCTGAACATTAAATGTAAAGATACTTCATTCAGTTTTTATTTGTCAATTATTAAGTCTACATGACCATTAAAAACTATGAAATTATTTTCATAAGAGCCACTTCCCCTTAAGGCCCTTGCCCTGGAACAAAAAATGCTAAGAATCTGGGGGGATTAGGCGAGTCATATGCCTACGCAAGGGTAGGTAAAATATCAATATAAAAATTCTTACAAATTCCAATTTTCATTAAATTTGGGAGTTATTTATAACCATATGCATACGGCAAAGATAAATCCTGAATAAAATGACTTAGAAATTGATTGTAATTAACCCACCAAAATGATAACGCGCTTTAGTAACCGTAAAAATGATAGAAATGGAATGTTAAAACTGTTTTTTTTTTATATAGATTGGGTCTTCGTACCATTTTTTTGTAAACAAATATTGAAAGGGTATGGAAGAATGTATCTCTCACCATTTTGAAAAAATGGTACGAGGACCCACTCTATATAAAAAAGTTAGTTCACCTACTTAAATTTCGGAACATATATTCAAAAACGCGAAGTCCATTTGTGTGTTTGCTATACATTTAAGAAATAAACAACGTTATTTAGTGAACATGGCGTACATACTAATTAATTTTTTTTTTACTTTTTCTGAATGTTTTATCACCCAATTGTGAAGAGTTATCGTTCTTTGTACAAATATGCAAAATATGATAAGAAAAAATAAAAATATGGCAGTTCTCTTCATTTTTTAAAAAGTTTTATTATACAATTAAAAACATTGACCAAAATTAAATTTTTCAAGATATAAATCAGCAACTTTGAATTGTTGTGAATTTCTTTTTTTTCCAAAAAAATATTATTAAAAACTTATATTTATTCCTTTTACGAAACATTTCATATATTTACTTCTCAACACTCTGTGTAACTATAGTAGATCTTGTACTACACGAATTTGAATGCTCTAATAGCAGAAACGGTTGTGTCTATAATCTTATGAATGCAGATGAAGACTACATGTTTATGTGGGAGAGACCAGTGGATATGCAAATATATAGAACTGTTTGTTACTTAAAGCTATATATGGCGTATTTGAACTAAAAAATAAAAATACGATATCAGGTGTAGATTTAAGATATGTAAAGTTAGCTACTAGTAACTGGCTACTAGTAGCTGGCTACGACAAGTGGGTAAAGTTGGCTACTAGTAGCTGGCTACGAGAAGTAAGTAAAGTTAGCTACTAGTAACTGGCTACTAGTAGCTGGCTACGAGAAGTACGTAAAGTTGGCTACTAGTAACTGGCTACTAGTAAATGACTTGAACCTTCTAGTATCTTTTGTTTAAAATTAGGCTATTTTGGAAGACAAAACTTGATATTCTTGAAGTAGCTGGATTTTTACACCGCTGATATCAACTGATATTGCTGATAAAAAAAATCTCTGAGCTTTTCTACATGATCTGGCATTGAACTTACCAAGATATCGACAGTAATAAACTCAGCTACTGGTACCTTTTGTTTAAAATTAGGCTATTTGGAAGACCAATCTTGATATTCTTGAAGTAGCTGGATTTCAACACCGCTGACATCCACTGATATTGTTGATAATAAGAATTTCTGAGGTTTTCCACATGATCTGACACTGAAGTTACCGAGATACATGTAGTAATGAACTCAGCTACTAGTACCTTTTGTTTAAATTTATGCTATTTTGGGAGACAAATCGTAATATTCTTGAAGTAGCTGGATTTTTATATCACTGATATCAACTGATATTGCTGTTAAAAACAATCTCTTAGTCATTCCAGATGATCTGGCACTAAAGTTACCAAGATATCGTCAGTAATAAACTCAGCCACTAGTACCTTTTGTTTAAAATTATGCTAGTTTGGGATAAAAATGTTGATATTATTGAAGTAGCTGGATTTTTACACATCTGATATCCACTGATTTTGTTGATAAAAACAATATCTGAGCTATTCCACATGATCTGGTGCTGATGTCACCAAGATATCGTTAGTAATAAACTCAGCTACTAGTACCTTTTGTTTAAAATTGTGCAATTTTGGGAGACAAATCTTGATATTCTTGAAGTAGCTGGATTTTTATATCACTGATATCAACTGATATTGCTGATAAAAACATTCTCTGGGCTTTTCCACATGATCTGGTGCTGATGTCACCAAGATATCGTTAGTAATAAACTCAGCTACTAGTACCTTTTGTTTAAAATTGTGCAATTTTGGGAGACAAATCTTGATATTCTTGAGGTAGCTGGATTTTTATATCACTGATATCAACTGATATTGCAGATAAAAACATTCTCTGGGCTTTTCCA